GTGAGAGAGGTAGAGGGAGACAGGAGGAAGCAAAGGTGTGAGGAATAGGATAATCATTCCGCAAGTTTCTTGCAGGTCTCCACTTGTATATATCTAATAGCCAACTTGCCCCCGGAGTGCGGATCGTTAGATCAGCGCTCCGGGGTCAGCTGGGGGGCCGGGGGAGGTTTGTGTACACGTGGGCCAGTCCCCACGTGTGCACAAAAATTAAAAAAGTTAAAAAAAAATTCGGGGGGATGTTTAAATCCCCCCGAAAGTGCAAGAGCGTTCCGTGCGCACGCGCACAGAACGCTCTGCTGCCGGCCTTGCCGCCGCCACTTCGGTTATATACCTTTTCTTAATTCTACCTATTATACCAAAATGGTAGTGAGATAAATTAATGAAATAATCCTTATAAAAAAAACAAGCAAGCAAACAAACAGAAACATGTAATTTACAAATCATCACTCCTTCCTCCACCATTACAGCGCAATCTCTCAATTTGTTTTCAAAAGCCATATAAATCTGAAGCAGAGTATTTAAACCTTTTTAATCAACAAGCATAGAATTTGTCTCTTCTCTCCTTCTGCTCTTTCCATATCTTCCTTCTTTCTTTCAATTTCTTTTAAATGCCTTAAATGCCTTGCACTTTTGTATTCGTAAATCTCCATCTTCTAAACTCTTCCATATTTCAGAGGGTTAGTCCTCAATCTCATATTCAGTTTAGTCTGGTTTACACAGGCTTTTCCTCCACTTTTTCTCTTTTGCCGCTTTGCCTTTTTTTCTTCTAAAGCATCTATGGGGACTTTTTTTGCATCTTCTTTTTCTGATACAAGGTCTGCTGTGTCTTTTGTCCAGTCTGTATCTATCTCTTGGTTTTCTTTTTTCACGGACTTCAGCTGGTTATCCGCCATTTCCCTCGTCCCTTCCAAAAAGCCGTCCCACTCCTCAATAACAGTCTGAGCCAGTTGAATTTGGTCTTCATTGTTACTTATATCCTGATTCACATTTAGTGAGGTTTTAAGAAGATTATTACAGGCAGTTCTAAAGGCTTGTGTTATTTCTCTCACCAATAAATTTTTAAACTGTTCTATTGTGAGAGTTGCAATTTCTGTATCCGGGTCCCATTCCTCGCTGCTCTCTCCCAACTCCATTTTAACGTTTCAGCATACAGGTTAGCTTCTAATAGTCTTTTTACCAAAGCCTATATTGTCCTTCAACTTCATACAATAATAGCTCAAAACAAGACAGAATAGCTTTTTCTTACCCCTTCCCTTTTGCAGCAGAGATCATTTCAGTTTCCAATCGCTTCATGGCCGCTTTCTATAGTATTGGAACTATCTGTTGGGGGTATTATAATCCAATGCTCCTCCAAATAGTCTCTTGATCCTTCTGCGATGTAGTAGTTATAATTCATCCAACAAAAAACAATAGGTTAAAAGGCGAAAGATAGATCAGGCTGCTTGGGAGCATCCCGAAGATCTGCCCATTGCCCGCGCCATACTGCGCATGCTCCCCGGCTCACACATTCTTGTGTTGGCTCAGGAAGGAGGGCTCTGGAGCAAACTAATTTATGCAGGAGCCAAATCCCTCGCTCACAACTTTAATGGCAGTAGCTCACGAAGTAGAGCTTTTTGCTCACAAGACTCCACAGCTTAGAGGGAGCACTGACCTGTTCATTTTTTAACTTGTCGTTATATTTGAATGGTGGTCAGGGAAATTGACAAATGTTTGTCAGGGAAAGTCAGGGAAATGAAAAATAAAATTTTAGTGGCAACCCTGCAATAGTAGTAGTATTCAGGACATAGATACCTGACCGGTACACAAGGCTATGAGGCCTCACCAGTATTCTCAGGCCTTGCGTTAATCGATTGTAGCTGTAAAACTCCCTGTTTTGGCCCTACTTTGATTAACTTATTATCTTATTATTGTATTGTTATTGTATTATTGTATCATTATTATTGTATCAAATACTGCTTGACCACTGAAGAATGCCACTCTGGCCGAAATGCATCTGGTCGCAGTAGGTCCCACTTGTGTACAGTGTACACTTTTTATTCTGTATTGAGGCTAAATGAAAGGGCCACACATATCTATTGTGAGAAGAAAAATCGTGTTCCCCAAACAAATCTGAACTCTGTAAGAATCAGTCAGGATATGTTGCAATTTGTGCCTCGTCATGCTGGAATTTGGACGAAGTCCCCATGTGGTTGAAGTGTTCTTAGTATTTCTTACCCCAGAGGTCACTATGGAAACCCTGATTTTAGAGGGGACATTCTTCCCTCTACTTCACTGGCTCGGGTATGTTAAGAGCAGAAGTATCAAGCAGAAAGTAAACTGAAAGTCAGTTTCTCAGAAGAGAAGTGAGCTTTATTTTATATCTTGTGTAAAATTTGTCTAGTGCCTTCTTGTGTCCAAAGCAGTTTTACAATAAACGTAATAAAATGCATAATAAGCAAGCGACATAAAAACAGTAAGTAATTATGAAGTCGTTGTACACTGCTATTTTCCAACAAATCACCACACTATAAGAACAGCCATACAATCGATTCATTAAATGTTAGTGAAAATAAAAACACGTTGTAGCCTTTGTGGAAACACACAAGGGATGTAGCTTTCCATTCTTCTCCATGGAGGGGCAGCTACTGGGAAGACCTGCTGGATAGAGGAGACCAGGCCCTGTCGGCTGCTCCAGTCTCAGTCCGTGCATGGGTACATCCTGGGAGAGACGATCCTTTCAGTGTGCCGGTCATAGGCTGCAAAAGACTTCACAGATTAAAACTGCATCTTGAATTGAACCCAGAAGCAGATTGGGAGGCAGTATAACTGGCACACTGTAAGCTGCGTATGCTTATACAACAGATAGACAGAATCATTGGCATCTAAAACCTGTAGCTGTCAAGTCCAGAAGTTACAGAAATGTGGATTAGCATAGCAAGGTCAGACTGGTCTGTAAGCTAAGTTTAGATGAAAAGGTACTTTGGAGAGCAGCTCTCTCTTGCTTTTTAGGAAGTAGGCCAGGGTTTAAGCACATCTCTCAGTTCTTTGTTCCCTGTCAGTCACCAGACTTTGATCATTACAACAATTACCTTCTCTTATCTTGCCTAGAATCGGTTTCATTCTGTTCACTCACATCCATTTGATTGTTGCTTTCAGACACTGCTTAGGACAGAGACGGCTGCTTCTGAATACTTAGTTGATGAAATGTAGAACTGAGTGTCAGCGTGGCTGATGGTAATGGTTCTTTTGAAGTTATTCATTGTTGATTAGTACGAGTGGTTGTGATGTAGTGGTTAGAGCATCAAACTAGAATTTAGGTGACCCAGGCTTAGGCCAGTCACATACTCAGCCCAGTCTACCTCTACTAACACGGAAGCTAAGCAGGGCTGACCCTGGCAACTATTTGGATGGGAGACCTCCAGAGAATACCAGGACCAGCAGGCCAGAGGCAGGCCCTCAAGCCACTTTTTGGAACCTCCTCCATGCCCCAGTAGGAGTCGCCAGAGGTCGCCATGACTTCCAGGCACGGACACACACATGACTTCCAGGCACGGACACACACACAAAAAATTCAAAAATACAACACCCACCCAACTAAACATATTGTCAATCTCTTTCCTAGCTTGATGAAAGATTATTTTTTTAAACCGCCCATTAACAAACTGAGCCTGAACTTCCTGGATCAGGATCTGGAGATGGCATACAGGAGCAGCTATCAAGAAGAGGTGTGTGTATTTGCATGTTTGTTTTGTGTTTGACTTTTGGGTTTTAGCACTCAGAATCATGGGACAGCAGACTAGGCAATTCTTACAGGTGTTTCTTAAGTCCAAATCGGCTTGACTGGAGTCCCTCGCGGCTTGTACTTCTTCTGCTCACCCTGCAGAAGAGCTCTCTGTGGATGTACTCAAAAACTGCTCTCATACCCCTGCACAGAACTTTTCTTTCAGCTGCAGAGCATTCGGCAAACTGCAGACTGCCCTTTGAGGCTACAAGACCGTCTCCACACTGTATCCTGGAAATACGGCTGAAGACGGAAATTCTAAATGTTCTGACTTGCTGAGAAGACAGCCCTTAGCCAGCCCTTAGCCAGATGAGGTCTCGGAAGCTATGCAGGGTCAGCCCTGGAAGTCCAGGGTTGCTACGCAGAGCCTGGCAGTGGCAAACCCACCTCCATTCGTCTCTTGCCATGAAAGCCCTACCAGGGGTAGAGATGTGAAGGCCCGGGGGAAAAAATGAAAACATTTCGCCGGGGGGGGGGGGGGGGGGCACCTTTCTTCCCTGAAGCCTTTTTTGGTTTTTCCCAAAAAGTTGGAAAAATTGAAAAAAGAAAAGGGAACAAAATGATTATGGAACATTTTATTTTAACATGATGAATAAAATACTTTAAGACAAGGTGTTCAAATATTTTCCAAATCATTTCTAAAAAATATGTATGGTATCAGATTGATCTAATTTCTGTGCACTGAGGACAAGCAAGTCCTAGGTTACCAACTGAACTCTCTAATGCAAGAACAAGATGCATTTCTTCCTTTTGGAGGTTCTATTGTCACAAGAAAAGAAAAAGGTTTCAGTTCTGTTTTTGCATGTGAGGGTGGGTATTCTGTTTGTAATAATTGTTTGGATACACACTATATTTTAATAGGCTAGTTGTGATAATTTCATGCCAAGTAAAAATGTCCATAGTCATATTTTATGTTCCTAAAGTAACAGAATGGCTTTCAATCTGGAAAAGAAAAAAAAGTGCCAATGTAGCGTTTTTTCCCCAGAAAAACCCATTTTTTTTTCCCCGAGCTTCAAAATTTCCGGAAATTTTACATCTCTAACCAGGGGTAGCCATACGTCAGCTGTGATTTGACCGCGGGGGGTGGAGGACAACAGCCAAAACCCAAAGTTGTCCTCTGCCTAAGATGCCCGGGCTGTAAAACGTGACTGGGTTTGACGTAGTATTATAGGGATTTTTAAAGACACAGAGTCTGTTTTACAGAAACACCTTTCATAAAGGCATCACTCATACCAGGCCACGTATGTCAAGAGCAGGCAGTATGACTTGGGGGCGGGGTGGTGGCGGAAGAATCTGATGCAGACGCAAAAGTTGCGGTGGGATCCCCTTGGGCAGGGGCACAGAGGGGCAAGGTGGGCCCCCAGCCACCACTACGGGCATCTGCTCCCCAGCCATCTTCACGCATGCCCCCCCCCCGTGGACCTCCTGATGGCCCCCCTGGTGTTTCTGGCCCCTGTGTGACCCAGAGTGTTGGACTGGGTGAGCCACTGGCCTGATCCGCCATGGGCTTCTCTCTTATGCTCTCATGGTCTAAAGGGGAGTCAGGCACTGGAAGCCAGTTGTGTGTGCTCTCCTGCTTCTCCCAGGTCATAAGAAACGCACCGGTGAAGACTTTTGCCAGCGCCACCTTCAGCTCCCTCCTGGACGTGTTCCTGTCTGCCGTCGTCTTCCTCACCTTGTCCGTCACCTGCTTCCTGAGACACGGGATGGCTGCGTCCCCCCCTCCCCCCGCTGCGGTGGCCGTGGTCGTCATCGCCGTCCTGTTGGAGATGCTGTCCCTTTTCGTCTCCGTCAGGTAAACCGGGCAAAGCCGAGTCGAGATCGCCGATTGGCTCTGAGGAGACTCCTGGGGTATTAAGCCAAGGAAAGACCTGCCCCCGGGCGATGAGTAACCAAAGCGATGGGGAGAGATCTGCACTGCCTTTGCGGCTCTCCAGGATCTTTGGCACAGTGTCCGGAAAGCAGACGCTTCTGTTGCCCACCTCCGCACGTTTGGAAATGCAGGACTATACCGGGTGTCATTTGTTCTAGTGGGCCTGTTCAGGTCAAGCAACACCCGTTTTGAGGCATAATTAAAGATCATGGCCCTAGTTAGCTTTGCTCACTCTCATCTCTGCCGTGGAAACAAGGGAAAGGGAAGGGAGCAGGAGGCTGAAGACCCCCTCGCTGCCCTGTTTGGATGTGACAGGCAAGCACTTAGGTCTCTTCCCCGTGAGATGCGTGGACTGGGTTTCAGTGGGGCCGAGGTCTACGGCCGTGGAGGCAGGTGAAGGTGAAGAAACGAACAAGCACCTAGCCAAGGGATGGGCCTTCCAGCCTCGACTGTATCTTTGGGATTTAATTGTGTCACAGATGAAGTGGAGTGTATTGGGAAACCTTTTTTGAGTTTGTGTGTGTGTGTGTGTGTGCTTCCTAGAATGGTGTTCTTTCTGGAGGACGTGATGGCTTGCACCAAGCGACTGCTGGAGGTGATTGCTGGCTGGCTGCCACGACACTTCGTTGGTGCCGTTTTAATCTCCCTCCCCGCCATTGCGGTCTTCTCACACTTCACTTCTGAGTTTGAAAACAACATCTACGTAAGTCGTGCGGTGCTGAGTCTCATCATTTGGCGCATTCTGTCAAGTGTCGTTCCCTTCTGTT